AGGAAACAATATTAGTATCACCACAGCAATCATAGGAAAAATAGGAACACCATGAAATCCAGCAGAAAGATGCAAAGCAAAAGCGATAGCTAGTAAATAGGACCTGCACTGAAAAGAAAAGTCTGGAATGCACCACTAACCAATTACAGAGTAGTCAGTATAGACCTTCTTTCCATGTGAATAGCCAGTGGCCGAGGAATGACAGTTATTTGCCCTATTTTCTCCTGATGATTCTGCATGTACCAGTTCAGAGGTTGAGTAGCAGACCAACAAGCCAGAAAATAAACCAGCACATGTATGATGTCTCTGTCCAGAAATATGCGCAAGTTTGCATCTGTTTTTTGGAATCTTTGACTGAGTGGGCAAAGAAAGCCTCATATTCACATTTTGGGACCGAAGAGAAATATCACAGCACGCCTTCCAGGTATATCTGGGATTAACTGCAGTTTTAAGCGTTAACGAGTGGCAACTGCTCTTCAGCTTGGAGATACTAGACCCAACACATCTTTTATGGGATCCATCAAAGTTAATTGAAGATAAGAAACAATGTGACTTGGACGTAGAGATAGTAGAGTAATGGAGTTTTGTAGGCTTGGTTGAGATACAAAAACGCAAAGAGTTGGCTGGTGCTTGCAAAACTATATTACAGAAGCGACTTGTCATTTGTCTTCTCGCATGTCTGCTCAGGAAACACAAGTTTATCATATAAGTACAGATGGGAGAACTGACCATTATTCTAGAACAGCAGCAAGAAAGCAAAGGACTATAAAACCTAAACTCACAATTGTTTTATATAGAATCAACAGGGTAATGTGGCACTTGGATTTATGGTATCAATTGGCTCTTAGTGCAGCTGCATATTCATCAAGCAATTGAAACCAAATTTATATACCCATATATTATTTAAAAGCTTAATATCTTCTTTGTCTAAAATCTCCACATAGTTCTTAGAGATGAATAAGATGATAGGCAAAATAAGAAGCAAAGACTGCAACGAATTTGGATGCCATAAAGGGAAAGCCTACAGACTGCTCAGAAGAAAAATATCAAAATGGACTTCGCTCATACAAATTAGGGGTGGGCATTCGGTATTTCGGTTCGGTATTTAAGAATTTCGGTTTGGTATTTCGGTATTCGGTTTATCAATTGTGTATACCAAATACCGTACCAAAATATTTCGGTACGGTTTGGTATTTCTTATTTTGGTTCGGTACGGTTTCGGTACGTTTCGATTTAAACCAAATTTTTACTATCTCCCTCACTCCATTAACTAATAGGAAGCAAACAACTGAAATATTTTGTTTATTTCTTCTGCCATGGATCAACCAATTCTCCACAATCTATTCCTAATTTCTCGCATGAATGACTTCCACCAAACGTAGTTTTTGGTATATTACATATTTAATTAGCAACATTTAATATTATAAAAGGTATAATAATGAAATAATTTCATTTTATATTTATGGAATAATGATAGTATATTGCATATTTAATTATATAAATGGTATAAGATACATACATACTTAGAAATAAATATTTACAGAATAATATCGGTATAAATATTATATATTCAGAATTCCGCCAAAATATTGATATAAAAATTCTGGAGTGTATTATATGTTATAATTCAGTTTGTGGTATATTTATCGTATAAATATTACTATATGTTTGGACTATGTTATATAGTTGTATGAATTTCACTTTGTATAATATAGTACTATTATATACAACATATATAAATGACATAATGTACATATATAAACAGGTATGTTCCATATAGTGATAGATATATACGTATAATATATCTAATATAAACCATCAAAATCCTACAGAATAATGGAACGCATGAAACACCATAGGATGCATTTCAATGTTGGATATTGCCGGATCAAGGAAGTATGTCAAAAGTTCTTTAAGATGGTAGAGAATGTCCCATGATTTATGCATCTTATCTGGTCATTAATTATTTGCTTAATCTTTATAATATGCCATTAGTGTAAAAACAATCTTTCATTTATGTAATAAATAAAGAATATTATTATTTTCTTAAATAATTTTTAAAAAGTGCTCACCCATGTCGATTCCTCTTTGGAATTTGGGGTGTGGGCTTAAGGTTATTGGGCTAAAAATTAAAAACAAAGTTGGGCTTGGACTAAACTATTTCGGTATCTCGAAATACCGAAATATCAAAAACCCAATCCGTATACCGAACCGAATTACCGAAATACCGAAATTTTTGTACCGAAATAAACCGAAATACCGAAAAAATCGAAACCGAAATACCAAATTAATTCGGTTTGGTTCGGAATTCGGTTTTTCGGATTTTATGCCCACCCCTAATACAAATACCAGTACCGTACAGTTTATTCCAGTATGAAAGCTCTTCCTAGACATTTATCTTCTTATATATGTACAGAGACATTTCAGTTACAAGCATAAAATATATTCCATATAGTCTTTTGACAAACATATGTTGCAGTTTCCTCGATCAAGTGATTCAAGTGGTTATTATGCTTTATTGGTTAGTTTTTTTTTGTAGGCACCTTATATGCAAAAAAATACACCATGCATCAGAAAAGAAGACTTATCAACCGAAGAGCAAGGAGCATATCAATATGCCACATGAATTTCGAAAGGCAACAACCAATATCAACCATATAAATCTTGTCATTACTCCCCTATAAACTGACATGATTGAGTCAATAATGCACAATATCTCATACGGTACTTTTTATTATAAAAGAAATAATCATCATTGCCTTCATATGGTACTTCATTCTTTCTTGAAAGGGAAAAGTTAGTGAAGTGGTTCAAAATCATATGGTACTTCATTCAAAATGAGCAAGCTGTCTATTAGGCCTAATATTAACACTCATTCTGAAGTAACAGGAACCATCAGAATATGTAGATTTTTGAGAAGTCATGCAAATGATCCTTCAAGCATTGATCAAACTGAAAACTACATTGTAACTATCACATTTCCATTTCATATTCATGTTTGATATCACAAACAATTATGGAAACTCTGAAAGTGCACAAACCATTTCATGAGACAATTCTTAAAGCACCAATAATGCCAGAGAAGGATGTGGAAACAAATGATGGGTGTAATTGGTTGGCTGCTCAAAACTTCAAACATCACTGGAAAAAAAAGTACTAATGCAGGAGCTTACATAGACATTTCATGAACTATGGACTCAACATGACATTTTCCTATGTGAATCCTTCTCTCTCCTTATCAATAGTTAATTAGTTGAAACACCAAAAAGATCTCACAAAATAACTCCTTCTATCCCATACTTATGACACTATTTGATCGGTACAGAGTTTTTTAGATATTAGTTTAACTTTGTATTATAGTAGGTTTGGAAGTAAGTATTAAGAAGTTGTTAAGAGTTAGTTTGTTCAAGAAAATATCACATTAAGGTTAAATGTGAAGATACATAAACTTTGTGAAAGTTGTAACTTATCAACAAAAAAAATTGTGAATTTGTATTGGATTACTATAATATTAAAATTTTGTCAAACATTCTAGTATGTCCTTAAAATGGAAAGATTATTTGGAGAGATAAATGAGACATCAATACACAAGTCACTATAACATAAAATATAAATAATATAAGTTATATATATTGACAATGTAATGATTTTCTTACATCATCATTGTAATTTAACTTGATATAGCTGGTTACTTACCATTTATTTTAGGTAATCAATTAATGTTTATTAAATAGAGCTACCTGCAATTATCTTTTAAATGACCTCATTTTGTAAATATTTTTTACACCCTTAGCGGATAGAACTTAAAACTCAAAGATAAATAGCTATGATAAACTAAGTATACTAAAAAATGCTGATTTTGAAAACACTAAAAATAAAAACAGTATAAATTCAGACTAAAACCATTCACAAGAAATGAAGGATGAACATACAGTACAACACTTTAAAACAAGGATTCGGGCGAGAAACCTACAGTAAACCCACGTTAAATATACATCAGTTGAATGGTAGCCTGAACGACAAAAATCAAGATAGACAAGAAAATTCAGAATTTAGAAAGTCTACACAGAATGCAAAGAAGACAAATTAAAGCAAAGTAAAATTGAAGCAAAGAATGTAAGAGTAGTGAAGAAAAGAATAACCTTTGAATTCCGATAAATGTTGAAGAACAAATGGTAAATTGTTCCCGAGCTACCAGTTTAAGCAACTCTTTTAGGTGCGTCAGAAGCTTCTAGCTTTGTCCGGAAGAACCCAAAGGGGAACTCAAAGGGTAAAAATTAGAAATAGTCTAATTACAATTAGTAATTTCAAAGATAATAAAAAATTAGTTACTTATAAAATCTGAATAATATATCCTTAAAATCTGGAAAAATTATAACATAATATGTTGGTATTTGAATTTTTTACATATGAGACTTTTTATGGTTCAGGTAGGTTATTTTTGTCCAAATTTGATCCCGCATAAAATAGTAACTATTTTCAATAACTTTGCAAATATTTATTATTTTTTCATCAACAGTTCAAAAATTGGCTAGTGATAACTCCAGACTATACTCCTAGCTATGATGATTGAAGCTAAGAAGAAGAAGAAGCAGAGGAGAGCAAAGGAGCAGTTCCCTAACTACCGACTAGCCACACTACTAATTTATTACATATAATTAGTTGTACACAACTATCAATAGCACTTGGTTCAACACTCCTCCTCAAGCTGATGGCTAAAAGATATCTCTCCGCCTCAGCTTGGACATTAAGTAGTCATGTTGCACTCGACCAAGGCTCTTTGTTAGGAGATAAGCATGTTGCTCTTTGGTGGACACATGGTGTGTTTTGACCAGGCCTTGTACTATCTTCTCGCGAACAAAATGGCAATCAATGTTGATATGTTTGGTTCTTTCGTGAAATATAGGATTGGCTGCTATTTGGATAGCAACTTTATTGTCACAGTTAAGAGTTATAGGTAACTCAATCTCCACACCTAACTCCTTGAATAGACCTATAAGCTAGGTAAATTCAGTAACTGCTGAGGCCATGCTCCTAAACTCTGGCTTTGTAGAGCTTCTAGCTACATTTTCTTGTTTCTTTGACTTCCATGAAATCAGTGCATCCCCAAACTTCACCAAGTAACATGTAACTGATCTTATGGTCTGCAGACAGCCTCCCCAATCTGAGTCACAAAAACCTTCTAGTTTTCCTGAGTCTACATATGGCATTAGAAGACCAAGTCCTGGAGAACCTTTGATATACCTCACCATTCACAATGTAGCTTCCATGTGTGACTATTTTGGTTTGTGCATGTATTGGCTCAGAACTTGCACTACATAAGCAATGTCAACTCTAGTCATTATAAGGTAGAGTAACCTGCCTATCAGTCTTTGGTATTTTCCAGCATCAGTTAGTAACTTGTCTTCTGTTTCAGAAGAAGATTGACTATGAACAAACCTGTCATATTCTTCAGATGTGAGTTTTACATTTGCTTCCAAAGGTGTACCAGCTGGTTTTGCACCACTAAGCCCAATCTCTGCAATGAGTTCCAAAGCATACTTCCTTTGACTCATCACAATCCCCTTAGATAATCTAGCAAACTCAATTCCAAGGAAGAATTTGAGTTCACCTAAGTCTTTCATTTTGAACTTGAGTTTCAAATCATTTCTGGTCTGAAGAATCAACGTTTGGCTACTTCCAGTTATAAGCAAGTCATCCACATAGACAAGCACTACTAGACTCCACTTTCCTGGTGAACAATGAATAATCAAAGTGACTCTGAATGAATCCAAGCTGTAGTAAAATATCTATTAGTTTTTTATTCCATTGCATAGGAGCTTGCTTAAGTCCATATAGGGACTTATGAAGTTTGCAGACATTGTGCTTCCCCCTGGCTAGCAAACCCTGGAGGAACCTCCATGTAAACTTCTTCAAGTAAGTCTCCTTGGAGAAAAGTATTGTGTACATCCATTTGAAAGATGGCCCAATGCTTAGCTGCAACAATGACTAGAACTGACCTGATTGTAACCATTTTGGCTACAGGAGAGAAGGTCTCAGTAGAGTCTAACCCCTCCTGCTGGCTATATTCTTTTGCTACAAGCCTAGCCTTTAACCTTTCTACTGCACCTGAGGAGGTATATTTGACCTTGAACACCCATTTACATCAAATAGGAACTTTCCCACGAGGGAGATCCACCACTGTCTAGGTGTGATTATCTTCCAAAGCTGATATTTCACACTTCATTGCCTCAATCCACTTTGCATATCTGAGTGCCTCATTGTAAGTTTTAGGTTCCGCAATAGCTGAGTAAGCAGCTAATGCAGCTCCAAAGGAAGGTGACACATTAGCATAGCTGACACAGTCTGATTGTTACACCCCATATTTTTGTACGTGAAAGTACGCCGTAAGTCAATTGATGTAAGCTCGGAAATGAAGTCATCTTTGAAAGTATATGAAGTGATTTAATATTGTTATACCCCATACTTGAGACATCACTGTCATTATAGGATTATCTAATGTAAGCTCAAAAAGGACGAAATCTTTCTACAATGATAAGAAAGGTTTACTAAAGCCTTAAGTAAGTTGAGATGAATATGAGACTTTGATATGATATATAAAGTTTGGAAAAAGTTGGATTTAAGTTGCGAAAAAATCGAGCTAAGATTTGCCTTGTAACTAGCCATTTTGAGAAATTAATTCGTAAGATTTATGATGTAATTTGGGACATATATCATACAAAAATGAAGATATTTGAACCTATTTTCCAACGGTCCAAACCATTTACTCATACGATATCGGGGTAGAGAAATATGAATTTTTAAAGTAGGGTCGCCAAGTCACGTCGTCGCACTTCGGAGAAACTGGCAGGTTTATAGGCCAGGTTGCGAGGCAGTTTTCTCCCAATATATTGAGAGTTACAGGAATATATTTATATTTAATTAAATCCCCATGTATCTAGTTTCTAACATTATAAATCGTTCGTCGATACGACATCGGAGTAGAGACATATCCGCATTTTTGCGAGACTGCGCAAGCAGCTCGGTTGGGACCACTTGAGACGACCTCCGGCCTTACGTTTTTTTAAAGGTGTTTCAGACACATTTCAGGTCATTTCTCACCCACATTTCATCTAAACAGCTCTCCAAAACCCTCCCTAACATATTCCAAGATCCCAATAACCAAACTCAAGGGAAATCAACTCAAATCATCATCAAAATTTAGCCTAAGTGAAGATGAAAGTCTCTATGGTGTCGTGATGTGATTAATGGTGGTTGTAAGATAAGGAAAGCTTTGGTTCAATTTTTTTCAGATTCTTTAAGGTATATATAACACCCTATTGTCACACCTCCTTTTTCCGAGGGTATAGGGGATAGGGAGTTTTTTCAATTTAAGTGACATTATTCGAAATGAGATTATTTATTTATTCAGAGTCGCCACTTGGAATAATTTATGGTATCCCAAGTCACCGATTTATTTTAGAATCTCAAATCGAGGAAATTTGACGTTTATTTTTGTTCCATGAACACAGAAGATCGGGTAAGGAATTCTGTTAACCTAGGAGAAGGTGTGAGGCACTCCCGAGTTTCGTGATTTTAGCACGGTCGCTTAACAATTAATACTTGGCATAATTATCTGATTTATTACATGTTTTAAACCCATTGTGCATTTTTATCTTTTATCGCTTTTTAATATTTATGGAATTTATTTGAATAAGTCGCGATGTCACACACTTGTCGTTTTGGTACACATTGCAAACTGCGCCACGTGAAACGCACCCGCAATTTACAACATGTTTAATTTTATTATTATTTGAAGTTATGGTCAAGTCGCGTGAAATGCGCACTTGAATTGGGGTTTACGTATCAGGACTATGCCACATGAACCGTACTCATAGTCACGATGATTTATTATTAATCGCGCCTAAATCAAGCTACGGTGTTCGAATATTATTCAATTACTAATTTTGACATTATTGTAAGGTCATGAGGTATGTATATTGTTATGGAGGAAATGAAGTAAATTAATTATGGAAAACGTTGGCTAGCTTGTGAATGTTTATTTGATTTTGGTCATGTGCAACAATTAGCTCATAAATACGCTAGGTAAGTTCAATTAAAGTCTTACACCAATCATGACCCAACCTAATCTCTTATAATTTTACTGCTAACCAATATTTGAAATTAGACTAAATTTATGGCAGNTTTTCTCAATTCCTTCCTCCCTATTTTTCCTTTCTCTCTCTCCCTCTTTTTCATCACATTTCTCTTCTATTTATAGAAAAAAAATTCGGAATTTTCAATTTTTTATTTATTATTTTTTTTTTAATTTTTTTTTTAATTAAAAAAAATTTTCACTTCCCATTTTTCTTATTTTAAAAAAAAAAAATAATTCACCACTTTCCTTTACTTTTATTTTTTAATTTCTCACTTTTTTTACTTTTAATATATTTAAAATCCCACTTACTTTTACTTTTTTTTTTAAAAAAAATCAGATACCCTTACTTTTATTTTTTAATTCCAACTTTATTTTAATTTTAATTTTTTAAATTTTCACATTCTTTTACTTTTATTTTTTAAATTTTCCATTTTCTTTTACTCTTTTTATTAAACAATTTCTACCTACTTTTACTTTTACTTTTCAATTTTATATTTCTAATTTTTCTATTTTTTAATTCCCATTCGAAATTGGTTTTTAAAATAATAATAATAATAATAATAATAATTAATTTTTATTTAGTTTCGGTTTTTAATTCATTTTATTTAAAAATAAAGATAAAAATAATACTAATAGTAATAATTG